GGGGGGGTGTCTCCTGGCAAAGAGGGGTGTGGAGTGAAGGCAGGGTGGGGGGAGTGGGATGGGGGCTCAGTGGCCACCACAGTGCCGGCACAAGTTCTCTAGAGCTGTGCAGAGCTGGAAGAAGCCGTGGGCTATTGTCACAGCTGGCTGGCACTGATGTAGGTGGGCTGAAGCATCACAGCTGGACAGAAGTGCCACAGCTGGATCACAGCCACACAGCTGGGGTGGCAAAGGGGAGCTGGATGGTACAGCTAGGGTGGAGGACCACAGGCCTGACAAGGTTGTGATAGCATGGCTAGCCTGCAATGGCACATCTGGAGCACAGGTGGATAGGGGCTGCTCAGCTGGATTACAGCCACACATCTGGATTGCAGGCACACTGGCAGATTGCAGCTGTACAGCTAAATCCACACAGCTAAGATCACGGCACAACTGAATTGCAACCGTGCAGCTTGATTGCAGCTGCACAGCTGGGTCATAGCACAGCTGGATTGCAGCCATGGAGCTTGGCTGCAGCTGCACAGCTGGAGTGCAGTGACATGCCAGCATTGTGATGGCACAGGTGGATCGTGGTAGAGCTGGATCACGACAGCACAGCTGTGTGATGGTGGCCCACCTGTCTCATGCAGCTGTATTGCAATGCCCCAGTCAGCCCACAACGTCATGGATGTGTCATGACAGCATGGCCAGAGCACACTGGAGAGCAGGGGTGCATGGTGACACCATGGATGGATCATAAGGAGATGCCTGGACCATGGTAGGACATCCAGACCCCAATGGTATGGTCAGACCGTGGTGGCACAGCAGGACCAGATCACGATAGCACGGCTGGGTTGTGATGGGACAGCCAGGCCATGGTGGGACATCCAGAGCCTGATCCAGAGTCCAGTGGCAAGGCCAGGCTATGGTGGAACAGTGGTACTGGATCATGAAAGCATGACTGGGCATGACATCCAGACCTCAGTGGGACACCTGGACCTCAGATGACATATCTGGACCTCAGTGGCATGGCTGGACTATGACAGCACAGGTGACACATCTGGACCACGACAGCATGGCACAGCCAAATAGTGACAAAATGGCTGAGTTGTGATGGAACATCTGGACCGTGGTGAGGCATCTTGACCCCAAAAGAACACCTGGACCCCAATGAGACGCCTGGACCCTAATGACAGAGTTGGATCATGATGGCATGGCAGGGCTGGGTAGTGACAACATGTCTGAATCACAATGGAACGCCCAGGCCATGGTGGGACATCTGGACCTTGATGGGACATCTGGACCCCAATGGGACATCCAGACCCCAGTGGCACGGCCATACCAAGCAAGGCCCATCTCCTACCAGGACAGGAGGGAGCTATCGAAGTCGCGGAGGCGAGGGATGTCCTCCGTGGTGCGAGGCGATGGTGTCAGCGTGGCGGTGGAACGGCAGCCGGACGAGGTGGTGGGTGAGGATGCAGCAGTGGCACAGGGCATGTCCTCACCACGGTACCACACCTCCATCCCCAACCTGCAGGGTGGAGACCACAGGGTAGGTGCTGGGGGCAGCATGCCCAGCCCCCAAGCCCCCATACTCACCCTCCAGCTGCATCTTCCTCTTCATCCTCCTCTTCCTCCTCCTTCTCCTCCTCCTGGGCACACTGGCTGAGCTCACTGGCTGAGGGTGGTGGGGGCAGCAGCTCTGTCCAGCTCACCACCGGTGGTTTCACTGCTTGCCCCAGCTTTGCTTTGGCCCCTGTGCCAAGGAGGGATGCTGGGGGGGCTGTGGGGAGGGCACCGCACCACGAGCACCCATGTGTGCCCCCACCCATCCGACCACCCTACCGTGCTCAGCCCGGCCACGGGGCACCTGGGAGGCTGCAGCATCCATTGGCTGGGAACTCCCCCCGGGGTAGGAGGTCCCATACTGTGAGAAGGGACGGGGGAATGTGCAGAGCTCCTCACTGTCAACGTCGATGGTGCTGTAAACCGGCCCCTCGCCAGCCCCCGCTCCAAACTGCTCCGTCTGGGCGATGTACCGAGTGATGCCGGCATCTGCAGAGGGTGAGCAGCATCATCAGGGCTGATCATGATCCCCTCAATCAGAGCCACCCAGCTCCATGCTGACCCCTCACCATTGTAGTATCTCTCAGTGCTCCCCAAGCAACCGGCAGCACCGGCTGTGCTGCCACCACGCCACGCATCCACCAGCCACGGGTAACCACCACTGGCAGCTGCCCTGCAAGAGGATGGGGTGAAGGAATGCTGGTGGTCAGCCCTGGGGCTCCTGGGGAGGGCAGGGGATGCCGGGGGGGTTACCTGGGGTTGCTGCGCACTGGAGCTGGGAAGGCAACTGTGGAAAGAGATGGGGGTGAGGGCAGCGAGAGGCCGTACTGGGACCCCGCAGCACTTAGGGGCTTACCGGTGGGTGTGTAGGCAAAGGATGCTGTAAAGAGAAGGACAGTGGGTGGCTTATGGGCGAGGGGTGAGGGG